TTATAATGCTCATTTCGTTTGTAAGTTGAGAATCTCTTTTCTTTTTTTAAACATTAAGTTGATATATTTATCTATTATTTTTGATGTAACTCTATTGTCAGCTCTGAGTAAGTACTTAGTTTTCTCGTTATTGCTCAGATTTGCGTAAAGTGCATCTTTGTTTGAAATGTGAGAATGGAGCTCAACTCTCATGGTAGCGTACCCCTGGCAATACATCAAGAAATGCTGTTTGTGTTCTACGCAATTTTCTTTGCATACAAAGCATGTTCTTTCCTCTACTGGGATTAATGCTCCTTTATTTTCATATTTTCCAGTTTGTATTCGTAATGTGTGACATCCTAACCTAAGCCTTGTCAGGCTAATTCTGTGTGCTGAGTTTATAACCGTTTTCAGGTAATTTTCAAATTGATAACTCTTTTTAACTTCCTTGTGCGTAAATTTTTCCCTTGANGTGAGTGAGTGAGTGAGTGAGTGAGTGAGTGAGTGAGTGAGTGAGTGAGTGAGTGTGTGAGTGAGTGAGTCAGTGAGTCAGTGAGTCAGTGAGTCAGTGAGTCAGTGAGTGAATGAGTGAGTGAGTGAGTCAGTCAGTCAGTCAGTGAGTTAGTGAGTGAGTGAGTGAGTGAGTGAGTGAGTGACTGAGTGACTGAGTGAGTCAGTGAGTCAGTCAGTCAGTCAGTCAGTGAGTCAGTCAGTGAGTCAGTCAGTCAGTCAGTCAGTTAGTCATGGTTCATTTATTTACATTAAAAATACTGACAAGGAATTTCAACACAAAATGCAAAAGTACCTGCTGCAAGCCAAGCAACAGCTTTGCCAGAATAAGTTATATCTTCACCGTCCTTGAACATTCGGGCTTCTTCACTCTGCTAAATTATGCAAATAAAACAAAGAGGAAATAACACACTTTTTGCAATCTTCTTCCCACAACAATAAAACACCTTATCATACCATATGGAAGTGGTCACGAGGTGGGGTGGAGTGTAAAATTCTAGCTGGAAGAGGTCCTAAATAGACGCGATTTTCCAGCTTCTGGTGACTTATACCAGCACAGCCTAATGGTAATAACTTGGTAATAACTTTCATTCACTTCCATTCAGGAGCAAATTTGTACGCTGGTAAGAGTTTTCACCGTTAGATCACTCAGCGTAATTCAAAGCAAGTTGGTCTTGTTTAAAGTGACCAAGAGTGCTCTTAATCTGAGCATGATTGCTGGGTGAAATGTCTTTTTATTTCATACCAAAGATCACCTTTTCATCCTCAGCAGCCTTGTCAAGCACCAATTCTTGGATCAGTTCAGTCTTTACAGGTCCAGGCCACAGTGAAACACATGCCACATTGTGTTTTCGTAGTTCAACAGCCATATCTGCAGCCATTCTGTCATTCTGAGTGAAAGGAGTAAGTTTTCAGACACTTTCTTTGCGCAAATGCCTCTTACTCGGCTCTAATTGTATTGATCTTCTTAACCCTTTAAGCCCAAGATGAACAGCCATTTTTTCGAAATCAACAAATAGAGGTTCCCTGCCTGTGTATTATATATCATTTGAAAGCTACTTAAGTCACCTTAGTTAGAAAATGAGATCAGCAGCTATGAAGGCTGTTGTCATTTTGAGAGAAATGAGGTTAAAATGCAAAAGTGTCGTAGGTTTACCCCTAAACTATATCTTATTTTGCAGCTCTTAGTACTTGGCATAATGTGCAGTAAGTCTTAGATCCCATGTGCATCTCAAAAAAGAAATAGAAAAATTGTGGGGGTGGTCAACCATATCCTGGATGAGAGGGAAATTCAGACCGTCAAAAAATCTCATTCTTTAATGACAGGGGCTTCGATATTTTCGAGACACTTTTTTTATTTCTGGCATTCGTTAAGTCATAGCTCATAATTTTATGAAAAGTAGGTCACGTGATGGCTTAGCTGCAAAGGGCCTATGACTTTTGTTAAGCCAGTGTATATCCCACAGATACTGAAAATATTTTTCAAACACTCACTGCTGCTTTGCCAACACCATATGCAACATTAAACAGATAATGCAGTCCTCCAGAAGATGACACATTGACAATGAGCCCCTGTTTTGCTGGAACCATCATCTTGGCTGCGTAGCAGGCAGCAACATAATTGGACCTTT